CGGGGATACTTTATAAGTCAGAAACCAAAAATGGATGAGGTTGGAAATTGTATCTACTGCAGGGTTGTATCTAACCCTAACTGTATCAAAATATGAAAACATGTTTTGATGCGGAGCCTCATACAGGTTTGAAATGACAAGAGGGTGAGTAAACTCTGTTAACCACTAGGCTCCAACACCCTCTCGTTATAAAGCCCGTCGCTCCTGAACTACCGCTGTAATTCCTCAATTGCTGTAATTGCTGAAGGTCCATTAACGTGTTTGGAGTTCATTAACTTGCTGTCAGTGGGTTGCTGTCTCTTTGTGCTGTCTGCTGCTCACTGACTATAAAGAGTCTCTATACTATATAGTCTCTCTCTCTCCATCTGCAGGTGCTGTGAAATTAGAGTTGTCATTTAAGGCTACAGGAAGAGCTGCTGTTGTTTTGAGAGGTTATGGATGATTTTGTTTGCTGTTTGTTGTCATTTGAGTAATCATGTGGCTTTTAGAGTGCAGGAGAAAGCGCAAATAGAGAGCAAATGTATTTCACACTTGCAACTCCCATGTGTGGTACTGTGCATACGACTGTGGGGCGCTTTTTTTTTTTTTTTAAATGTATGTGTTTTGTCCTGTGCATAGAGAAATGAAAACCGACTGTAAACAACATATGAATGTTACAAACATTTACCAACTTTAAGCGTTACCCATGTGAACTGTGCAATTGGAGGGAAAAATGCTGCATTTTCAAATACATTTAAAATGCATTTCATGCATGGATACCATAGTTTCCAGTAGCACAGCATAAGCAGTGCCATCTAGTGACTGTGTGCGTGGGACACCTTTACAATCTCAGCCAGGGTCCAAAATTAACAATCGCAAAGCAGCAAATGTGAGTAAAAATTGTTGAAACTTGATAACTAGCCGCTGCATGCTTCGCAGAATCGCTTTTAAATCTGCTGTCAAAAAAGGAGAAGCTTTAAGGTCTCACCGCAGTTTTCCACCAAAATGAAAGCTGTAAAAAATAAATAATAGTTATTATTATTATTATTAATATAAAATAAATATTGTAACATTTTAAAATAAGATATTTATTGATATAATAAATTATTATTATTATTAAAACAATGTTTTCATATTATTGAAATGTTTTATATATATATATATATATATATATATATATATTATACAATATTTATTTAAAAATTGTTTTTACATTAATAATAATAATAAATGTTTTATTTAAATGATCACATGTTGTTTTTAAAGTATTATTATTAATATTATTGTATAGTCATTTTTGTCCTTAGCTGACCACATGCTTGCTATTACTATTGCTCATACTGAAGGTCCGAGTCCTATCTAGAGACTAGAATTGTCTTCGCAACCACATAGAAATGTGCTAAAGAACATTGAGGATCTTAGCAATGAAATAGCAATGCGCTGGAAACCAGCTACAACACCCTAGCATTGTGTGTCGAACAAACACCACTAAAAAGCTAGTCGCTACAGTTATTGTTACTACTATTAACATCACAATAGTGTGGGATCAAACACTTCTTTCTGAGTCATTCTGCTGTTTTGTTTAAATTGTTACTGCAGTTTTATTATGGGAACAATAACTATGGTTAGAAGGAAACGTTGGATACCATGATAAATAAATATTTTAAGGGCAATTTACTTAATATTTGGCTATGAGTTTATATGATTACATAATTACTGTATCAGATGATCAGCCACTTGCCAACTGTCTGTTTACTTGCAATTACAAAAATCAGCCTCTTATGCAAATTCCAGGTCACAGTCACATTTCTGTGTACTAAAATAAAAATTGACAAATCCTCATTGGCATACCACTTTGTTGTCTAATACGCTTTTGTGTACAGTATGTTAATCCATATTTAAGCAGACATACTCGTATACATAAGCGCACATGGCCGAACACATGGGTTTGTGCTACTTGTATGTTAAAGCACGCTGTACCTTGCAGGAGCGTTTTCCATAGTTACAGGATTGTGCCAACACACCTCCTGCGCTCCATGCAGCATAACTCTACACATGCATAACTGAACCTTACCATTAAATGAAAACGAATTCCTTCATTTCTACACCTCTCTCTCTCTCCATTAGCACGGTTTTAAGACTAGCCTCTCCTTTAGTGTGACCATTTGGCCCCCTTGTGGTCAAAATGTGCAGGTTGAGAACAGATGCTTGTCGCCATGTTGACATTGGATCAGATATCGTGGCTGAGAGATGAATCTTTGTTTATTTTTAATAAATAGTGTCAGAGTTGTGGGCTTGTCCAGATATCTCAGATGGGAAACATTGGTGTCCCAGTTCTTTTCTCTTTTCCAAGTCAGGACTGTAAGACTGACTGCTTGTTTTTGGCGTATTAGTTTGCATTTAGTTGACTAATAATGGAATAAACTTCTCTTTGAGTGTTGTTATACCTTGGAGTTAAGGCTCATTCACACCAAGGGCAATAACTGTACCTATAAAGTTTTAATTAGGGCCCGAGCAACGATGGTGTGAGGACCCTATTGGAATTGCTCAGTTTCTTCTTCCTCTTCTCCAAAATCCATCGCATTTTTTGAGGGCCTAAACATGCTCGAAAACTCATGAAACTTTGCACACGTGCCAGAAGTGGCGAAAATGTACATCTGATATGTGCTTCAGAAGTGGGTGTGGCAAAGTGGCTCAATAGTGCGACCTATAATATTTCAACAAAGTGCCCCTCGAGCTATGTTTCACGTACATGTATGAAATTCGGTAGACACATGTAACACACCAATACCTACAAAAAAGTTCGCCCCGGTACGAAGTCCGAAACCCAACAGGAAGTCTGTTATTTTAAATTTTCTTGGCAAGTTTTGTGCCGTTTTCAGGCGTTGCATTTAAATGAACTCCTCCTAGAGATTTCAACAGATCAACACCAAATTTGGTCAGTGTAATCTAAAGCCCTTTATGACGTTAAATTGCGAAGATCTAGAATTTTCGTTGAAGGGCGTGTCGGTGGCGGCCTGACAAACTTCGATGTTTTGCCATGAAACAGGAAGTTGTTATAACTCAAGCATACAAAGTCCGATCTGCCCCAAACTTCACATGTTTGATAAGAGTCCTGTCCTGAACACATGCCCATGCCCATATTCAGTTATAGTCATAGCGCCACCAGCTGGCAACAGGAAGTTTGGCACATTTAAATTACTTTGACATTTTTAAATGCATATTGCTGACCGTTTGCTGTTTTTCTTAAAGCCACCGGGTGCGAGGGCCCTTTCAATGCTGCTTGCAGTTTTAATTGCCATTAGAATCACAATCAACCACCCCTTTAAAAGAACCTTCTTTGTCTTATTGTGAAGATAATTTAAAAAATCTTTTTCCACTTTAAAAAAAAAACCTTTGGTGGAATGGAAAGATTCCAAAAATGTTAAAGGTTATTCTTGGAACCATCAATGCCAATAAAGAACCTTTATTTTTAAAAGTGTAGAAACTTCTTAGCAATGCCCTGGCAATCACGTGTAATACTATAACTACAGAATGTTTTAAAAAATGTTATTGCTGTATTACAAATCATGAATTTACTTGTTGCATGATAAAATGTGCAAAACAAATCTCAGATGCATTAAAGGAGAACATTGCATAGAAACTTTGGGAGTGATGTCTTTTGACTTGGGTCGGGTAAGCAAACATCTTACAACGCCCTAGCAACCACCCAGATCACCTTAGCAACCTTTTTTTGTTCTAGTTTCACACATATAACTCATATTTTCCTCTGAAGAACATTTTAGTTCTTTCTTTTATCATATGCTGCAGCTTCATAAGCTACCATCCTTCCTACTGGAAGTTTTACTGAGCATTAGTGCACAAAATCAAGATGTGATCCGCACCGGCCCAACACTTCTGAGAGAGAGACGGAGTGAGGCTCTCCAGAAAGAGTTGTTTGATCAGCTATTGGCTGCGGTTTGGCTTTGTTGCTATGGCAACAGCTGGTTCTGGTGTGGTGTAGTTTGTTTGTGGAGCCGTGAGCATGTCCCTGAGTGCTTCTCTCAAGACACACACACACACACACACACAGGACCCAGAGCTGTTTAGTTTGTTTGCCTGTTCGCTTTTTTTTTCTGCTGAGCATCTACTGAATTGTCCATCTTGATAGAGGGACCTTGGCAGGGCAAAACGAAACACTAGTTCACAGGTAGGCCTCACGGATGCAGCTGATTGGATGTTCAAGTTTGCAGCATGAGCTTTTGATTGGATATTTGCTCAACAAGTGTTTTTCCTGCTCATTGATTGGTTGTTTTAGTGGCTGCATTGCTGTTGTACTAATTCTAAGAGTTAAAATGCTGCTTGTTGAATATTATTTGGTTTATAATAGTTGATTTTAAAACTGTAGTATGCAACAGCACGACCTCATTACATGTTTATAATTTAGCGAGTTATCTCAGAAATACAGTACCATTTAAAAGTTTGGGGGACAGTACATTTTTTTTTGGAAAGAAATTACGTTTTTTTTATTCAGCAAGGATGCATTAAGTTGTGACCGTAAATACATTTAAAGGTGACACTAAAGACTTTTATAATGTGTCAAAAGATTTTTGTTTCAAATAAATGCTGTTTTGTTTTTTATTAACCAAAGAATCCTGAAAACGTGTCACAGTTTCCACAAAAATATGAAGCAGCACAACTGTTTTTAATACTGATAATAATTAGAAATGTTTCTTGAGCAGCAAATCAGCATATCAGAATGATTTCTGAAGCATCATGTGACACTGAAGACTGGAGTAATGATGCTGAAAATTCAGCTTTACATCACATGAATAAATTACATTTTAAGATATACTGAAAACTGTTATGTTGTTTGTTTATAATGGTTATTTATAATAAGTTGTACAAGAAGGCCATCGGCTTATTTTAAACTTTGTTTCTCTTACTGTTTCTTTCAGTCACTTTTTCTTTGGCTCCATTAAAGTCTTGAAAGAGATGACGTCAACTCATGGCACTGTTTTTCTGTCCCATCTGTCTCTCAGAGCTCCGGTGATGCACCCAGCACTCCCAAGTTTAGTAAAGACCAGCGAGACTTCTTCTTCCCAGCATCGTTCTCCACGCCGTGCCTCCACACTCACATGTATCCAGCACCAACGCAGGACGGGGAGGCCAAGCTGAGCAAGACCCCTCGACCGTTTCTCATACAGACGCAGACACACAGCACTCCAACACAGATCTACTGCCCGCCCTCCAGCCAACCCGACCAATCACAACAGCGAAAGACGCCTTGCCAGCCAATAGCAAGCATGGCCTTCTTGCCTCACACAGGTACAGCATCTATAGGCTTTCTTGTTGGCTTTTAAATTACTGAAATAATTTTGGAAGTGACTCTACTGTGTATCTACTGTGTATAACACTTAGCATACTACGTAGCATACTATTCACTGCATACTGTGCAATATATAATTCATATACTTACTAGTACAGCATGATTTAGTGAGTGTGCAGGTTTAAATTACTACACTTATCAGCTGTCCAGTTATCATATCAGAAATACACTACCATTCAAAGGTTTGGGGTCAGCAAGATTATTTTAGTGGAAGAAATTAATTCTTTTATTCGACAAGGGTGCATTAAATTGACGAAAAGTAGCAGTGAGAACTTTTATAATGTTATAAAAGAATTATATTTCAAATCAATCTTTTAAACTTTGTTCATCAAAGAATCCTGAAAAGAAATCTATCAGGGTTTCCACAAAAATATTAAGCAACACAGCTGTTTTGAACACTGATGATAATATGAAATGTTTTTTGAGCAGCAAACCAGCATATTAGAATGATTTCTGAAGCATCATGTGACTGAAGACAGGAGTAATGATGCTGAAAATTCAGCTTTACATCACAGAAATAAATTATATTTTATAAATCATTACAAAATATTTTTTTTTGTAATGATATTTTACAGTATCATAGATTGTACTGTATTTCTGATCAAATAAATGCAGCTTGGAAGACATTAAAAAAATGGTTATTTATTTTTGGTAAATATGTTTATTCTGTGTTTTTATTTCAATTTTGTAGACTAATAAATGAATGAGAATATGAATATATCATATATTAAAGAATAATAAAAAGAAAAACGGTAATTAATCACACTTTAAAGGTCAAGTTGAGTGCATTGCATTGTGGGATACATAATTCCATGAAGTTTGCTCTGTTGTATACTAGACATTTTAGCAAAGGTAGTAGGTCATGTGGATATAGTTTGCATACTGAAAAGCTGCAGGCTATGCATACTGAAAAGCTGCAGTACACTGCATACTAAATAAATGTAGCATGGTAGTTTATTTTGAATTCCAACACACCCCTTTTAGTAGATGCTGCTTTGGTTTGACACTCATTTGACCGTTCCCACATGTGTCCAGCAGAGGGCGTGTTTGTTCATGAAATTATACATTCTGTTTATGATTTATACTTTATGTAACCACTACATGCTAGGGATCAACATGCAGCTTATAACTTCAGCATACTCACTCTCATTACTAATACAAAGTCTGTCTCATTTCTTCTTCTAAGATCCACACGCAGAAAGACTGTGTTCACTGTCTCGTTTAGGCAGATGTGTTCTTTGCTTCATACTCAGTTGCTAAGGATACAAGGATGAAGTGTCCAAGTACATGATTGTGTTAAGTGTGCATGTATACAGCAGAAAGGCCCTGTGTGTGTGTCCTTGAGGCCAAATGAAAGTGCATGCACTACTACATAATCACATTTGTGTCAGTCAGCTCAATCTTTGAAATGCAGTCACAGTTTGTACCATACTAAACCTCGTCAAAAATTAAATTGTCAAATGACATTAACATGCATAGTAAACAAAAAAATCATAAACATAGTTAGATGCACACAGACACTGGCACTGTATTATTATTTACTAAGTGGTTATTATTAAGCCCATTAAATAATGTTGTCACTCTCGCAACCATAGTAACCTCAATCTTTGACAACACTCTATCTCAGACACATTTTATTCCGACACTTTAGTGAAGACTGAAAAATAAATGCAGATGTTAAAGTCAATAACCTTCATCCAAAAAAAGCTTAATAAACAAAATATAGTTATAAGAAAATGGTTAAACATTAAAAAAGATAGAAATTAAATTAGAAATGTTGATTTTGTAACTAACTGAAAGAAATTGAAGCGAAAAGCTGAAATAATATTAAGCTAAATAGAAATATAAAAAATGTAAAAAGCAAAGAACAAATGTAATAAAATTGAAAATACTAATAAATGCTGTAATAGTATATAAAAACTAAAATATTATGTATTTGATGCATTAGTACAGAATTCAGTTGATGTTGCACCCACAAAATGTGGCCCATCTGATCATATTTTTGGGTCTGAATGATCTGTTTACTAATGGCACATGTCTCTGTGTGTTTGTGTCTGCAGAGGATAGAGAGGAGCCGGTTAATGAGGGTCTGCTGTACCGCCAGCAGGAGTCCCATCTGTGCCAGCAGATGAAGATGGCCACCGTCTCTCAAATTCACAGTCATGAGCCCCCGTCCTGCTCAACACACACCAGCACAGGTAACGTCTGCTCACGATTGAGAGGTTTTCTGACATTTTTAAAGCAGATAATATTTTATCCTGCAAGGGTGCATCAACTTGTCAGAAGTGACAGCATGGGCGTCGCTAGGCCATTTTTAGGGGGGCTATATACTACTCAGCCCCCCTAAAATTTTGCGATTAGCTCCATAAACTGTACACGAATTTGTGATCGGCTCAGTCCCATTTAAATTTCATATTAAAACGGCGGCAGACTTCGATCGGCTCCTCCCCTTCTTTCAGCGTGTAGAGCAAGAAACAGAAGACAAGGTGTGTGTTTAACGATAGATAGTTATAATATCTGCATCTGTGCAGTTCTGTTCTTTGTCATAAATACAGTTTACAAAATATAAATCGGTTCGCCATCTACTGTAGCCTAAGTTTTCGCTGCGTTCACCCCTCATCACACCACAGCTGTTTCCTCCAGTGAAAATGAAGCACATATGAACGCATACTTTATAAAACGATCATGTTGCCATTTCATTTGAAAATGTCAATTTCAATGCAATACATTTTCCAGTGCATGTGGCAAAGAGGTTTGCATACTTGAGCTAAGGAAAGAGGGTTGTACTAGAAATGCAAACAGTAAAATGTTGTGTGTGTACATTAAACAGGTGTGTGTGTGTGTGTGTGTGTGTGTGAGAGATCATGAAGACTTGTATTTGGTTTATTCAGTAATATGTTATACCTATGCAATATAGTGGAATACTGCACTTTTTAGTATATAAATTTAGCATACCAACCCTATTAGTCAAACATTTTTTGTTCTTTTGTTATATATATATATATATATATATATATATATATATATATATATATATATATATTATACCCTCATTGGGGGCTGAGACCCCCTAAAATGAAAATCCTAGAATTGCCCCTGAGTGACAGTAAAGAATTTTATAGTGTTACAAAATGCTGCTCTTGTTAACTTTGTTCATTGAAGGGTCCTGAAAAATATTTCACAGTTTCCACAAAAATATGAAAGAGCACAGCTGTTATCAACATTGATAATAAGAAGAAATGTTTTTGAGCAGCGAATCAGCATTTTATAATGACCTCTGAAGGATCATGTGACACTGAAGACTGGAGTAATGATGCTGAATATTCATCTTTGCATCACAGGAATAAACTACATTTTAATATATGTTCAAATAGAAACCAGTTATTTTCAATTGTAATAAAATTACTGTTTTTACTGTATCTGTGATCAAATAAATGCAACTGTGATGAGCATAAGAGATTTTTCAAAAACATTGAAAAATCTTACCAACCTCAAACTTTTAAACATTAGTGTAATTAATTAATATATATTATTATAAATATACACAAATAATTATGTAACACCTATTCATTCTCGACTTTAATTACCCACATTTACAATACAGTCATCTAAACTAAGAAATACTATTTTTTTGTCAATGATTGTTTACAGAAAGTGACCAGTCAGAGCAGGCAGATGCATGTCGCATCCGGTCCAGAATTCCACCCAACATGCCCAAACTGGTGATCCCCTCCACAGTCACTAAATTCCCCCCAGAGATAACAGTCACGCCCCCCACGCCCACCCTGCTCTCCCCGAAGGGCAGCATCTCTGAGGAGACCAAACAGAAACTCAAGGTTGGTGTTCTTGTGTCACTGATATTCATTGCTATTTCTAAGGAAAGCAGATAAGCCCTTTGCAATATTGAAACATCAACAGATACAATGACTCAAAACATATGTGACCCTGGAGTACAAAAGCAGTGTTGAGTCGCTGGGGTATATTTGTAGCAATAGCCAAAAATATGTATTGTATGGGTCAAAATTATCGATTTTTTTTAATGCCAAAAATCATTAGGATATTAAGTAAAGATCATGTTCCATGAAGATATTTAGTAAATTTCCTACTGTAAATAGGAATTTTTTTATTAGTAATATGCATTGCTAATAACTTCATTTGGACAACTTTAAAGGCGATTTTCTCAATGTTTAGATTTTTTTTGCCCCCTCAGATTCCAGATTTTCAAATAGTTGTATCTCGGCCAAATATTATAATTTATAATATAAATAACAAACCATACATCAATGGAAAGCTTATTTATTCAGCTTTCAGATAATGTATAAATCTCAATTTCAAAAAAATTGACCCTTATGGCCACTGTATATCATCAGATGCTCTTTTAAAACGTTCTCCTTCTCTTTGTCTGGTTTTCCCATCAGAATGTGATCCTGTCCTCTCAGTCGGCAGCTAACGTGAAGAAAGACACTCTCGCTCAGCCCGCTTTAGAGGTGCAAGAGACGTCGAGTCTGGAATCCTCTCTGGAAAGCGAGTCGGATGAGGAAGATGACTACATGGACATTTGAACGGTCAGGCTTTGAGCCGCACTGCTGCAGAACTCTCAAGCTGAGCTCGGAAGCGAAATCTCCTTATTTAATTGTGTAGCCGTAGCTAATCGTTGACGGTTTTGTCTTCGTCCGGTTTTCTATAGCGCGTTTTCTCCGCTGTATGCACGTTTTTCAGCGAAAGGGCTTTTTCCTACCCTGGCACTTGTGTACTGTTGGTTTTGCTCCTCTGCTGCTAAGCATGGACTGGGTTTCTATGTCGTTTTGTAGTTTATTTTTTTTGTTGTGTACAATCCTGCAAAGTGTCATTTGTACTCAAAACGACCCTCACACAGTGGAATCATGAAAAGTCGGTACAAAATAATTTCCTAAAGGATGGATTATGTAATATTGACAGTTTGTGTAATGCAATTTACTCACTCAGAGTTTCCTGGGCATTAAATCCATCACAACGTTGTTTACAGATTTGAGAGGAAGTGAACTGTGCTTGACGTTTGGAAAAAAAAAACATGATTCATATCACTACCAGGTTTCAATGGCATTGTAACCAAACGTGGAATATCCCGAGACATCAGCATGCAAACGCGATGGGTTTTTTACAGCCGTGTGGACATGTATCTCTGTTTTCCTGCTTATGTGTTCGAATTCTTTTGCATGGAGCATCACGTTTGATTGGTTGTCCATGCTTTAGCTACTGGCTTTTTAAAGGGGAGTTCTACAAATGTATGATTCTTCACAGCACCACGGGATTTCAATTTAGAATTGTTTTTGTTATTGATTACTGTATTGGTGTTCTATTGGTTGTAAAAAAATAATAATAATCACATTTTGGAGTATTTAAGCCACCACAAGTTCCATTTGAGTTGTGTTACTGTCTCACATTTTTGACCTGATTTCATGTTTTCATTTGTAATTTTAATAAATTTCCATTTGAGGATCATAAACAACAGCGGCTGAAAGGGCAAAGCATGTCAGTCTTATCGCCAGCACTGAGAAGATGTGACACTTATTCATATCACAACTGAAATATGAATGTGATCTAACTAGCTACAGAAGTATTGACTTAATGTTTTATTTTAATTTTTTCAAGATTATGCCAAGATGTATAAATTACACATTTGTTAAATAAGATGAAAAGGCCTAAAAATGGTGCTGATCCCTTATTGTTGGCATTTTTTTTAAATAATCTTTAAATGGAAAGTTCACCCAGAAATGGCAGTTTGTTTATCATTTACTATACGCATATTTTTTTTCTGTGGAACACAAAAGGCGAAATTGAATAGAACGTTCACGCTGCTCTTTTCCATATAATGAAAGTGGACGGAGACCAGAGGGTGTCAGGTTCCCAAAATTACAAAAAGCACAAAAAAATAGTCCATATAACTTGTGCATTCTATTCCAAGGCATTTGATACTTTTGCATGAGGAACAGACTGAAATATAAGCGATTTAATTTCTCCTCTGCTGCAGCTCTCAAATCTCGTTGATGTTTGTGTATATTCTAATATGGAACATCAACCAGATTTTCAGTGAATAATGAATTACATTTTGGACTGTTCTTCAGTTAAGACTATTAAATGCCTTTGAAGTCTTGGAAATATTGCACACAAGACATATGGACCCCCACTGCATGTATGGTGCTTTTGGTCACCATTCACTTTCATTTTATGGAAAAGAGCAGCATGAACATCCTGCCAAACATCTCCTTTTGGAGTTTATATTGACAAGATGGTAAGAAAATTAAGACAGAAACTCACTTTTTGGGTAAATTTTCCCTTTAACCTAAGAGAAGTGCCCAAACGTTAGTTGCATTGAGGTTATGTTCTTGACTTGTGGGATTTTTTTTTTTTCAATTTGGAGTAGCGCTGCTTTCTTGGAGCATTAAGAGCATGTCTGACCGGACATTGGTGATTGTCTTTTCAAGTGAATGATTTTCTCGTGACATGTCTGTATGTGGACGCCGCCGTGTTTCCCCACCAGATCATTTCCAGTTGTGTTATAGACGGAGGAGTGTGTTTTACCGAACGTTTTCTACTTGTAGACGGATAAATAGCTACCAGTATTTTTTTGAGTGCAGAATTTTTCAATACAAGTAGAAAGAAGGGATGAAATGTTTCGATGCAATGGGCATGTGTGACCAAACTACCTGTAAACAGATAAAGAGATGTTTTTATTTTTTCCTCTGTAAAATAATAATTTGTTTGTTGTCTTTTGTATGCTGTCTCTATGCTTGTGTTTAGAATGTAAGACGGCGGCGGAGGTGGATATATGCTCTTGTCTCTAGAGATGGGAGGTTTTCTGTGCTCTTTGGAGATTTATGGGGTATTGCTGTCCTCAGGCTTTTTTCTGAGAAGGTTGATATTTCTGACTTGCTGCATTGATGATATCACAAAACCAAAAATACACTTACAACATTTTTACCTGATCTTTGTTGTTTGGTTATTTTTTGAGATTACGAAGACATTATGAAACCAGACTAATGCTAGTGTACACTTAAAAGTGTGATGAAGCATGAAATGACAGTTCACCCTATTTTGTGAATGCATGATATTCTAAACATTCTAAGCAAATGTATTTTTCACAAAATAATCACGATTCAGCAGTAGCTTTCATACAACAACCTATACTAAATTGAGTTAGAAAAAAATGTAGGAACAACTGAAACCACATGCAAAAATGGGTGGCCTGTTAAGTGTTAAGATTAAATTTTATATATATATCTATATATACAATACAATTATTTTTCAGTGCCTTACCACAAGTTACTCATTCATAGATGATTGTGTGTATACACATTCATGCTGTTTCTATAAAATGTCTCCACTTTTTGACCTTTATTCCATAACGGGAGTTATGAGAAATGATGACCTCATCGTCCTGTAATCGTCTTGGGCTGAAGACCACCCTGTCTTGTAGCCAGGCCATGTCAAAGGCCGAGTCCGGGCTGGTGTGAAGCACTCAGACTTGAGGAAGTCTATTAAGACCCATTAGCAGCTCCCAGAGGTTTCTTATGAAGTGCTGCCAATGTGTCATTTAGTCCCTTTGTCAGGCACACTACACTCTGGGTTTGTTTTCTTACATATGGGACCAAATGTGTGTCAGATCTTTTTTAGGACGGGTGGGGTGGGGTGGGGGTAGGTGGTGGTGATTGTTTGCCTCCTGTGTACGTCTGCTGGCCTCCATCTGACTGAATACTTATGAGTCATAATGTATATTTGGACTTTGATCTAAATTAAGGCCAATATGTAGTTCTGTAGTTCGGTTGAGGCAGTTTAGATGAGCGCTGTAAGCAAACTGGCCTTTAGTTCAGGTGAATGAGCCAAGTGGCCTTGGGCTATTTCTTGTAGTAAATGCTCAAATGTACTCAATGACATGCCCTGACATGTTGACGGCATTTAAATCATATGCTAAATATACTGGAATAAAAACCGCATCTAAAGAATATCTAAAGAAAAAATGTGTTTTTGTTTTAGTTGGTCTGTGATATCGTGAACAAAATCTAAAACTACAACAAAAAAGTGTTAATTGAAATAAAGCTGAACTAAAATATAAACACTGGATATAAAAATAAGTTTAAGTACTACTAATAATAAAACTGAATTGTAGTGTAAAAAAATATATATAAATATAGTATATAAATAATATACTATACTATATATATATATATATATATATATATATATATATATATAATAGTATATAAATAATACTAAAATAACACTACAGTTGGTATTTGAACTTGGTCGGACATATAGACCTTCGGAACAACAAATATTAAAATAATGTTTCCTTTGGAAATACAAAAAAACCTGGAAATTGTAAAGAATTTTTAAAATTATCAACAACAAAAAAATCCTGGAAATGTACATTTATGCATTTGGCAGATGTTTTTATCCAAAGCTACTTGCATTGCATTTAAGGTGTACATTTTTGCGTGCAATTCATGATTTTAAAACCATAGAACCTTCTCCAGTGAGCAAGAACAACTGGGGGGGAAAAAATCATTGAAATTCATGGAATAAATACTATGGGAATCCTGTAAAAGCTTGGTGTCCAATGCCAGTTCTGAATGATTGTGGCATTCATTTACTCTAGCCTTATTGCATTTTTGCACTTTTTGAAACCCCACTTATCATCCAAAAAACATCCAGTTTAACGTCCTCGTCGTCCCCCCTGACGGCTGTACCTGAGCACTTAAAGTGGCCAGTTAGAGCATCAAAAGGGAAGATTGCATGGCTAATGCAGGGAAAGGTGTGAGGTTTCTCGTTGGCCCATAGTGGGGGGCTCTTTATAGACCCCACAGCCGTCTGATCCCAGCCCGGAGCGCCTGTGTATTGGCAGCTGTTAAGCTATTGAGTGACGATACATCCACACAAGGCACAGCAAATGGCAGAGTTTGCTAACACCTCCTGACTTTAGTGTCTGCGATACGGGACGGATGCAGAGCTGAGCTGGAGGAAGAAGAGATTTAAGACATGCTGAGTATCCGACCGAGTGACAGTGTTTGATTCTTTCCAGAATGTCCTGCAAATTGAAACGCTTCGACTCTCAGATAAAGAAACATCTCTGGGATATTTTGCGATTAACTTGGCGTAATATGAAAACACAATTTCTTCGTTTTTGTGAGCCAAAATGCAGCGAAAAGCAGAAAGAAAGCAATGTGTTGTGGTCTTGGCCATGACATTGCCACTTCCTCCAGTTCGTCCTTTCTGACCTTTCCGTCCTTTTTCCTCTCTCTCTCTCTCTCTCTCTCTCTCTCTCTCTCTCTCTCTCTCTCTCTCAAACTGTCACCCGTCCTAAAAACCAGCAGCAAAACTGGTTTGAGATCAGCTGCTGGAGTCCCAAAGCAAACACATGAAGCCCAGCGTGAGTGCGGCACGTCCCAGCGGGACTCTCTTGATCCCTGTGGGGTCTACAGTAGGAAACCTCCTGTAACGTTTAGATACGACACTTCACGGAACCATACGTTTCCTCTAAAGAGCAGCCATGTGTTTTCAGTTACACATTAATGATGTTTTAACCTGATCAAAGTGGGATATGGATCATTTTATGATGCGCTTCACAGATTTGGAGGGTTAAGCAAAAGTCAGTGAGGGAAAGTTTGACCTTTTGCAACTCACGTTTGCTGTGTCACTATACCATGGCATTGGTTTCTTGAAACTAAAGGATATTTAGCCTCACAAGGCTGTATTTATTGTCATAAGAAAAGTAAAAAATGAAACAGATATGACTCCTAGTGTAAGCTTTGAGAAATATCTTTAGGGAATGGTACAATCTCTTACCATAATTAACCCCCGTCTAATGTGTCTTGATTTCCAAGCGTATAAGCACCTCGCAGGTGTTAATAAGCCAGCGAGTTCATGTCTCACATGCCTGGCTTTAAAATGGAGGCTGGTGTCCGTTTCAACGACTGACTTGTTTCAAATGACAGCATTAGCTCTTTACACGCTAGCTTATGCTAAGCTCATTTCTTCCAACCTGATTACATGAGAAAACAACTATTTAAGGAGGTGGAATTTTTGTATGATTTCATATAGTTTATACAAAAACGTATGTTTTTAGGAAAAAAAGCATGAAGATCTGACCTTAAACCTAACCATCAGTGGACCATAGGCAGATCCTAATTGTACAAAATTTTGATTTTGACTTTAAAATGAAACTGGGTGAAAGTGCATGATTCCATTTCAATGGTACTTGAGTAAAGCTGAATACTGTAGTAAGTACTCAAGTAATTTACACCAACCACAAACCTAGTCTAGTGTAAAATGTCTGAAATGTGTCTGAAAGTCGCTCTGATCACACATAATGATGAGTGCTAATGCAAGCATGCCACCGATGGATTACGTTTAGGAAAACTATACGTTAGTCTTGCAGCAATGTGTGCGTAACCTCAGAGGAGTGAGGAGAGCCACGCGCCATGTGTGAATCATACTGACCAGTATCAGGTGAAGGAAATGAAACCTGGCCATCACACCTTCATGATGGAAAGATAGCTAAACGTGTGTTTGGCTAACGTCTTCTGTCGTTTTCTCCAGGCTTAGGCCTCTCAATGTTAATCTCCAGAGCGACTCTGAGGTGTGAGGGATTTTCGATGCTCGTCTTTACTTTGTATAGATGAATTTGAGTGTAAGACTCACACAGGTCCTCCTAGACTACCTTATATTCCCATCAATCAATACGATTCCAGCTTTTGAGGGCTTTTAGCTCGTAAAAAAAAGGCATCTCTGATTTAACTGCTGCTTTAAGAACAAGTGTTTTAATCTTCTTTATTGCAGCCACTAAAAACAACTGTTAAAACAAGCTTTAGGTTCATTTGCCATTGATCAGTAGGGAGAAATGCACTCAAGACTGCATTTGTGTTGAGTGCTGCTAAATGTGTTATAACACATTTATTATACATTAATAGCTCATTTATAAATGTTTCCATGAACAGGAAGAAACATTATCATCGTGTGTCTTGCTTTAAATGCCATCTAATGTATAATAAATTATAAATTGACTTTACATATGTGAAAAATGAGTCAGCTGACATCCATCTCTTCCAGTGCCTATGCATATTCACAGTATGCATCAACAATACAACATTGTCGTCACGCGAATGGTCTTGGCGATCATTTTTTGGGTCTTTTATATGGCAGTATTTGTTCTCAAATGCTTCAGTCCTTTGAGAGTTCTTGCAAATGTAGGAAATGGTGGTGATTAAGAGTCTGTTTTGCCTGTGTTAGCGTTTAGCATAAGAAAGAGTTGTGCTAACAGTGCTCTATGCCAGGGTGGAGAAACAGAACAAACTGAGGATTGTGTTTTCTGATGACTAAAACATCAGAACCAGTCAATAGTCATCAGTTCTGCCTCTGTCTCTTTCAATTCCTGTTTTTAAAACACCCTGAAGCAACTGCATATGGAACTTCTTTTGAATCAATCCTAAAGTGTTCCATTTGGGTCCAGTTTGGATTGAAATCAACTAAGAATTATGTAAGGTCCTACCTGGGGGAAAAAAGTATTAATATTTATTTGCTTATATTAATATTAAAACATTAATATTCCAAATATCTTTATTTGGTTTGTCCCCCTTTCACTGTAAAGGCAGCAGCACTTGAGATTCACATGATCAATGCCACATTTACCTAGAAATACTGCAGAATCTTTAATTTTTTTAATTCATTTTATGTCATAAGTTTTCTTATTCGTCATCATTTTAATTTTAAAAATCGTAAAACTTTTAATGAAGTCTCTATCGAGTTCACATGGTCAATTTCACAAAGCTGCCTAGAAATATTGCAGAATCTTTAATTTTTTTTTTTTTACTTTTTACGTCAAATGTTTGTCATAATTTTTAAATGTGAAAGAATTTTAGATTTTTAGTGAAGTCTATTGAGTTCACAAGATCAATGTCACAAATTAACCAAGAAATAGTGCAGAATCTTTAATATTTCTAATTTATGTTAAGTCATGAATTTTATTATTTGTCGTAACTTTAATTTTAAAAACCTTATTTTCATTATTAAATTGGAAAGAATCCCAGATTTTTTTCTCTATTTGACCCCTTTGTGTGATATTTAAGCTTTCAACTTCTCCCATTTCCCCATAACTTCCAGTGCTCTCTACTATCTCGATTCTAACTATCAAAGAATATAAATCAAGCCTTCCAATCTTCAACTTTACCAAAGAAGCACAGAGGAATAAAGACACATCTGCTTGCAGATTAATTTGTGAACAGTCAGTCAAGCACTGGTTTCAGCTTATAGTCACAGATACATAACAATGCCTGATACTCAGTAAACTCTCCCTATTCTTAAAAAAAAAGACAAGAAAACTGTGGTGAGTAGTGCTAACAGGCTGTAAACCACTAAAACATTCCCATATCTTTTGGATCCATCTTTCTTTTTTTCTGTTCTCTATCTATCTATCTGTCCCTCTTCATGTATCTCTGCCTGTATCTCTCTGCATGAATAGAAAGCCTGCTGCCTTCAGAGAGCATTTCTTCCTAATGAGATTAACCATCAAGGAACGGTCATGTCTAGACACCCTGAATACACAACCCCTTCCCTCCCACCACACACACATCCACAGGCTCATTCTCAGGTAAACCTCACCTGTAGATTTGCCCCAGGGTTTGCTGTCTGCCATAACTCTATAATGACTTTATGTGGTGCACTTTCACTGAGACATTGAGTGAGATGATTGTCAGAATCAAGTATTTGATATTCCATCATTTATTTTGGAAATCCCTCAAAACAGTTTGTTTTTGAAACATTAAAACATACAAAAAGTCTTCAAACATTCTCTATAAAGGTTCCTTATTGGCATCTATGGATCCAAAAAAAACCTTTAACATCCATTGAATGTTTCCATTCCAGTACTTTAGAATGTTCTTCACACCGAGAAAATGGTTCTTTTAAGAATTGTTCACTAAAAGGTTCTTTGGGAAAGCAAAAATGTTTCTTCTATGGCACTGCTGCTGCAAAAACATTTGGAAACTTTATTTTTAAGAGTGCAAAATCAATCCCTGAAAACAAAGTTTCAAGTAAGTACCAAAAAGGATGCCATAGCAGAATGTTTAAAGTTTCATAATTCTATAAAAACATATGTATTTGAGTTCCAAGGAACCTATTTATTTCCTCTTCTTTTAAAAGATGATTCCTAAAACCAAAAGTCTGATCTGATATTTTCAATACAATATCAAGAATATTTGAATCTCCAATGAACCATATAGCCACTCTGAACTGCAAATGCTAATTCTTGATAAGAAAATTGTTTCTTAGGACTGTATGTCAATATTTGTCTCAAAACTGCTGTTAAACAACTATTGACAAAAGATAACCGTAACCAAACCTAAAGGTAATGAAGGTTAAGATGGTTCTGTGTGATCTTTTGTAGTTTCTTCATGATTTATGAATATTAACACTGCAGATGTGTTTAACCCAAGGCCTAAATTTGTGAAAGCATTTCCATTAAAATTCAATGTGAAGGCCAAGATCAGAACATGTGAAAAGAAAAAAAGTTAACAAGAACCTCATACTCTAGTGACAACTTCAATTGCATTTCAAATTATTTGCCATGGTCTGACCTGGTTGTAAAAATCAGGACCTGGTGTCTGTAGCATCAGTGAGAATTAATGGATGGATATGTGTGTGTGAATTAGCAAACACGAGTGCTGAGTGTGTCAGATTATGTTTGTGTGAAGGGGTCAATGCTGTCAATTAGAAGGTGAAGTCTTTGCTCTTCCTCACATTAGCTGGATTAATGAAGGGAATTTCGTGCTTGATTTGCCATCCTGTATGCTTTGGGCCTGTACGTATTTGCTTAAAAGTCCTTTAGCAGTTCATAAAGACATGTTTCCTCTTCCTGTTGGGACTCTATCAAGGCTCTGCTAACTCTCTTTGATTCTGCCCATCAGCCAATGAGATCATGACATTGACTCATCACTGTGTCACTTCAAAGGCTGGGAATGGGTGTCCAAGCCCCGCCCACATTCAGAACCCACTTAAAGGTGTGGGACACCCCCTCTGCATCTGTGGCAGAAGCAACAGACAGACACATTCTTGGATTTAACTTTGGAATTAACTCAAGCCCTTTGAGTTCTTATGGAGAACTTGTATTTTTAAACGAAACATCTAGATATTGCTCATTCAGATCTTTTGGTCCGTCTCATTTTCTTCTGGAGGACATCTTGTGAGAAGCCTAAATAATGCAGGCCATCAGAGGTGAGTACTTGTTTTAACTCTAATGCAACTTGAGGGCTCTTGCTCTTGGTGTGCAACATTTATTTACAGACTTGGCTTCATTGTTAACTCGTTTTGCACTGAATGAAATTCCAAGAGTCTCTCATTGAATGCCATTGTCTGAAAAGCTCAAATATTCCATCTTTTCTCAGACCTAAAGCACAATTTCAGTCTCCCTCCTCCGCCTTCCATGGCTGGAGCCGGGGATTCCTATCACCAGGGCAACATCCGAATGACTCTGGAGGATCCGGAGCTGTGGAGATCCTTCCATGGGATCGGCACTGAGATGATCATCACCAAACCTGGCAGGTCTGTCTCAGAACCAACTACAACTTAATCTGTCGACAAGTTTCGGATCAGCTAAACTCTATAAACTGACCTTAATTCGTGCATTCATGGCCTAATGGTTAGAAAATCGGACTTGTAACCTGAAGGTTGCGGGTTTGAGTCTCAGGTCCGGCAGGGATTGTAGGTGGGGTGAGTGAATGACCAGCGCTCTCTTCCACCCTCAATACCATGACTGAGGTGAGACCCTTAAGCAAGGCACCGAACCCCCAACTGCTCCCCGGGCGCCGCAGCATTGGCTGCCCACTGCTCCGGGTGTGTGTTCACGGTGTGTGTGTTCACTACTGTGTGTGTGCACTTGGATGGGTTAAATGCAGAGCACAAATTCCGAGTATGGGTCACCATACTTGGCCACACGTCACTTCTCTTCACGTCAATTCTTGGAGCTAAACTTGCTTTTGTATGCTTATATTACAGGAGGATGTTTCCACACTGCAAAATCAGCTTGTCTGGATTGGTACCATATGCGAAGTACATCTTACTGGTGGACATGGTGCCAGAAGATGGTCTGAGATATAAGGTTAGAACCAAAACCCTCATCTAGTCTTTCTCTAATGCAATTAACAACCAGATTCTAAGAAAGTTCATAGATCACAAACATTCAAGTCTTATCCATTTGAATGCTCTGGTCGCAGGCTAGTCTAGACTATTAGAGTCCTATTTAAGTGAAGAGCTGTTGAATTGGGAATCAGTCGTGAACGGCTGGAGCGTTGGGGGACGTTGTCACATGTGTCTCCCCAGAACGTTCTCACCACTGATTGCACTCCTCAACTTCAAAGAGCCCCAACTCTTCCTGTTTTTACAGAGCCCACTGGGGGGTTTTGCCCTGACACACACTCTCGTTCACACATACTCTCACACCCCAGCACCCCCTGCACCTTATGTCACGGCCACTCTAGAAGCTCTAGTTATTTAATGAAATGCTTCTTCTTCCTTAGTGGAACAAGGACAAGTGGGAGGTCGCTGGTAAGTCTGAGCCTCAGCCACCCTACAGGACGTACCTACACCCTGATTCACCAGCGCCCGGCAGCCACTGGATGAAACAGCCCGTGTCCTTCCTCAAGCTCAAGCTTACCAACAATGCCCTGGACCAACATGGGCATGTAAGTGCCTGTTCAGATTCCTACATTTGTTTGATAGTAATTTGACTTTGATTTTAACCAATGTCTCTCCTTTCGATTCAGATTATCCTTCACTCCATGCACCGTTACCATCCACGTTTCCATATCGTCCAGGCTGATGATCTGTACAGCGTACGGTGGAGCGTATTCCAAACTTTTACCTTCCCCGAGACATCCTTCACTGCTGTCACTGCATACCAGAACACAAAGGTAAGAGTTTTATAAAAATGTAATAATCAGCAACACACTGATTGACCACTATTCTGGAAATTGGGGTGGGGACACATCCCCTTATCATATATGGTTGTTACAGCTTCAATTCTTATAATGTTATGTGAAGCATGTATATGTTCTTATGCATACATTTCGAAGTTGAATAGATAATGGTAATTTTTTCTTAGTATTAATTAGAACTGAGATTGGTGGTTACATTATTTCTCTCACAGATTACAAAGTTGAAAATCGACCACAACCCCTTTGCCAAAGGATTCAGAGATGAGAGCACAAACTCTAAAAGGTAAGATTATCTTGATGTTATTTTTATTTTCATGACCCGTTACCCGTTAAATTGACTTAAAAATGGAATCCATTCATTACATAAAGTACAACATTTTATTATTAAAAATGTATTCTATATTTTAAAATTCCAACAAGTTCAATACATTTGTTTACAGTTTTACATTGTTAACAATTTTCCTTTGACAGACGAGCAAATCGAAGTATGGCTGATCCTGAAAGAGTTGCAAAGAAGATTAACTTGTCAAAAGATTCAGAACATGGAAGCTCACGAGGTAATGGTCTTTACATTTAAATTAATATCTCCATGTACGTACAGGATTTGTAGGCTTTTAACTAGCAGCCTGGGTTCAGTTGTCCTAGCTGACGAGTATGGATGTTTTTTTTATTTTTATAAAAATTTCTCAAATAGTTGTTTTATTTGTAATTTATTAAGTCTCCTTGATATTTATCTCTTCAGATATCCAGCAATCCTCATGTGAGGGTCTTGATGATGAACACATGGGCCGTAAGGACTCGGAGGTGAAGCCCGAGCGGTACTCCCCATGGGGAGGTGCGTGTGACCGGGACAACGGCCACGCTCTCCGTGCAGAGTCCCCTCTGGGCTCGGACACTCGGGACATTTACAGCTCTGAGCAGCTCGTACCGGGACAAAACACATACCAGCCTTACAGGTACAGGCTACAGACCTCAAACAAGACTTACTAAGCTATTTTTCCCCTTGTCAGTGTCTCGATGTTAAATTCTCAATCTTTTCAGATTTCATGAATATGGCAAGTCCCCCTCGCCGTCCTCCTCCAGTGTTGGCAGCAGCAGTGCATGTGGAAGCCGCTCCAGCTTTGAGTCCCGAGTGCCGGATGCTGCCACCGTGCCTGATCAAGACACCTCCAGCAAGCCCTCTGCCCCTGAGCTCGGCCTGCCTCCCTGCCCGCCACATCCCTCCGCGGGGCACCAGGACTACGCAGGAGTGCTGAACATGGCCATAGCCCAGGCCAAGCCAGGTATTCTGGGCCACCATCCGCTCTACACGCCCTACAGTACAGAACAGTCTCTGGGACAGTGGAGCGGGGTAGCGTCCACTCAATACCCCCCTCCTCCACCTCCCCATCACCACCTTCCCACCGAATACAGCACCCAGGCCGTCCATCACGGCTATCACCACGGAAATGTAGGGGACTGGAGCCAATACCCACTGTTTTCTTACTCGTGCTGGTGAACGAGAGACGGGACGCTTTCTAAAGTCTTGCACGATGAGATCTGGATCTTCAGATGATGGGATACCTGCGAGCGCCAGATAAACACTGAGCGAAAGTGTAATGAGGAAGTGGCACTAACTAGAATGTTGTTCGGGGAGTCAACTTGGATGCAAATAGAAAATAAAGAACCTGCTTCAGTTTAACTGAAAAGAGTATGTCTGCTGATCTGAGGGTCTTTGTTTTCTGTGAGAAAAGACAGTGTGCTTGTCAATTGTACTGCATTAAACGCATTTGGAAATGGACTTTTGATACCTTTTGACTTGAAAATTCATGCCTGCGTACCGAAGACAAAGAACGAACTGGTTTTCTGGGATTTGTTGTTAAAATGTCTATTTATTCTGTGTTTGCGTTTGCTGCTACTTAATATTATTTTTGTTTAAAAAAGAGAATTGTGTAGTGTAAAATGCTGTTTGGAAATTACAATATTGTATGTCTGAAATTCAGAATGATCAGTAAATATCTTCAAAGATGCTGTGGTCATGGTCTTTTTCTTTCCCAAAGAAAGAAATAAGCAGCTAATAAGCTTATATGAATAAATCCTAATTGGAACCCCACCCATCTCTGTCTGTCTACACACACATTATTTGATGTTGCATCCTCAGGACACTTAAGGTACTACCTTACATAAAGCATGTCATAGGCCCCTCTGTGCCCATGAAAGAGTCTTAAGAGGTGTGAAAATGAAGGGGGGGGCCTTTTCACCACTCCAAAATGCAGACGGACGCTGATTGCTGCCGTCACGGTTGTCAGGCACTAATGACTTCCGTAAAGGAGGGAGGGAGGTGTATTTGTACGTCCTGAGTGGGAGCATTAGCCAAGCTCAATTCATTACAGAGCTCTTTAGCGTCTTTTAGACAAGCTTAGCAGCTATTTGGTACTCAAACACACTACAGATAAGCATTACCATGTTTATATTTACTAAGCTACTTCCGTGGCACAAACGAGCACAACAATACCTAATTTACCTCAAATATGAACAATATCTGAAATAGCTGATTTTTCTTGATACTGGTGACAACACTGATGAGAATGCGTTATCATTTATATTCTATTCCTACTTAGGCTCTTTTCAAGCTTTGAAAGTTCTTTAAAGACAAAATATTGACATGTAAGTTCTGTTTTTATTCAATTTTGGGGCACGAACAGGGTAAATATACACTCACATTAATTTTACTTATATTAAATAGGTGCACATAAGTATGAAAATAAAATGTCTTAGACCTCAAAAGGGCCAAAATAGCAAAATGTTGCAAGAAAAAGATAGAGCGAAAGAGTTTCAAACCATATTACAAAAATCGTTTTTAATTGTAAGCAGAATGCGTGTGATGGAAAGGAAAGTTTTGCTTTTACTGCATGTTTCGAAGAAAACTTTCGTATCCACACAGTATTTGTTAGATTGTGTTTCTCCAAATAAAATAAATGTAAGATGCTAAAGAATGTATCAGGATTTGTTATATTTATTTATTAGCTCATGTATTTTGTATCTACTTCACGTAGAATATGCAATAAAATTTTTCATGTCGAAATTTCAAATGAATAATTGAATTAAAAAATGTATATTAATATAAATGTATGGCTTAATATAAATGTATATTAACATTTAAATACATTTTAATTTAATTGTAAAGAACATGCAATTATATTTGCACTTAAGTATATCTAGTATGTTATTTCTGTAATAAGTGCTCGTTTTAAAAGCAAGCTGAAGAGTGTATCTTTTTATATCTACTCGGAAGTTTGCAGTTTGTTTAGGCCACCTTGTAAAGACCAACCAAAGAATTTATTTTTGTCATACTTTGAACGGTTTCACCTTTGTTATGACTATAAAACATTTCATTGTTTTTGTCATAAGAACCATTTGCTTTATAATATCATTTCACTGTTTATCACATGCAACATGCATATTGTTACCAATTATTAAAGTACTTCTAGTTTAACTGTATCTAACACATTTAATTGTCAGGTAATCAAGCTGTAATAATGCTAGCTAATAAGAAGATTGAGGCAAAAAGCTGAAAAAGGAGCGTTGCATGATACAAACTTGACTGTTATGTGCTGAAAAAAACATGAGATTATTGTCAGAGAAGGGGAAATTAAATAAGGTGCTGAAAGGGTTTTTATGACTGGGTGAAGTGAACGCAAGTACACAAACGTCTGCGGTGTAAAAACCCTTTCAACACCATTTAACTCTGAAGTGAGGCTGTAAAAGCTCCTCAATCATGTGTTAATGCTGTAGAGGCAGTTAAAACACCATCAGCATCTGCATCGGTCACTAAATCAATCGTCACATTTTCCAAATACCAGTTACAAAAAGTATTCCCTGCTAATATAAAATTATTTCCCTCTCCTCTTCTCAGTTTCTATTCCGACTCGTTGTATTAACCCGGCCTTGTTCAAAACCTTTAAAGCCACCCAAACAACTACAGTACAATCCGCTGATCTTTATTGTATATGTGATAATCCATGAATTTGACTTTGCAAACTGGCAATGCAGTTAAAATGTGTAATGAATTTCCAAGATATTAGAAGAAATACAATTAGTCTTAGTAATTACAGTCAGAGTGAATGTATATTTATACCATTTCATGTCAAATATAATGGAAATTTGATACAAAAATCAAATATTCCACAAAACACGTATTAAAAATAAGAAAATCAGTGATTTTCAGATTTCATGTGATCCTTGTTATGACATTCAAAAGGGTCAAACAAATCAGAAATGTTTAGAAGAGGCGATACATCTGATATATTGCATAAAAGAAAAAGCAAACAGTAAAAAGGAGTGCATAATATTTGGAACAGAATTGCTTTTTACATCGCAAAAGACTCTTGAATAACAGTTCACGTTAAACTAGCTCATCTAACGCTTGCAATTTTTTGATAATTTCTCTTTGGAGTGACTTGACAGCCAACAAAATAGTAAATCAGCATTCATTAAAGCAGCAGTTGGCAACCTGTCTTGAGATGTTTTTTTAAATTTATAATAGCAATCACTGTGACTCGTTCCCCATTTCTATAAACACTAACACTAGCTTTCAAAAGTTGACATGTTGGTAAGATAAAAAAAAAGATTTTTAAATTAGGCTACGTCCACACGAAGCCAGAGCTTTCCCTATCTTTTTTTCCCCCTCATCTCAAGAAATATTTGCGTCCACACGAAACCAAACAAAACGATGTAGTATACATGCCAGACTAGCATGTGGCGCTGTAATTCTGCCACAGAGATACACTAAAAATGGAGAAGACTTGGACTATGCTCACCCTCGTGTCGTTCCAAACCTGTGAGACCTTTATTCATCTTCGGAACACAAATGAAGATATTTTTGATGAACTCTGAGAGCTCTCTGACCCTCCCATAGACAGCAAGGATCCTAACACGATCAAGGCTCAGAAACAAGGAGATCGTTAATTAGTCCATGTGACATCAGGGGTTCAACTGTAATTTTACGAAGCTACGAGAAAACTTTTTGTGCGCAAAGAAAACAAAAATAACGATTTCATTCAACAATTCGTCTCCTCCGCGTCACCCTATAGCGCCATTATGGAGAGTTTTTTTGCCATTTTGTCAGGACTGCTGAAAGGATTATCGGTGCCCCTCTGCCCAACCTCCAAGATCTTTACATCTCCAGAGAGGCTAAAAGTAATTGGAGCTGCGCTTTGGCAGACTCTCTAAGGGAGTGTGTAACATATACGTCCAGATCTCTGTGTCCTAGAAGAGATTCAGACTGGAGATGATCCTTCCTGTCACCCTCTACAGCACTCCGCAATCCTCTGATACAGAGTATTATCTGTTACCATGACAAAACCCGCTCAAAATAGAAGTGTGTGCTGACCAGAGTCGCAGCATTTGCCTCAGGCTCCACTACAAGTGGAGTAATGATTTCTGTAAGCTAAGCAAAATTAGCTGTCTGGGGGAAACATTCAGAACTTTCCAAAAAGAATGTGGTGGAAATTGCACAACCGGTCAGTGTGAAATTAAAGGGATAGTTCACCCAAAAATGAAAATTCTGTCATTAATTACTCAGCCTCATGCCGTTCCAAACCTGTAAGACCTTTGTTCATCTTCGGAACACCGAAGATATTTTTGATGAACTCTGAGAGCTCTCTGACCCTCCCATAGACAGCAAGGATCCTAACACGATCAAGGCTCAGAAACAAGGAGATCGTTAATTAGTCCATGTGACATCAGGGGTTCAACTGTAATTTTACGAAGCTACGAGAAAACTTTTTGTGCGCAAAGAAAACAAAAATAACGATTTCATTCAACAATTCGTCTCCTCCGCGTCACCCTATAGCGCCATTATGGAGAGTTTTTTTGCCATTTTGTCAGGACTGCTGAAAGGATTATCGGTGCCCCTCTGCCCAACCTCCAAGATCTTTACATCTCCAGAGTGAGGAAAAGGGCTAAGAAAATCCCTTTGGACCCAACACATCCAGCCCACTCTCTCTTCCAACTGTTGCCTTCTGGTCAACGCTACAGAGAACAGCCAGGCACAAGAACAGTTTCTTCCCACAGGCTATATTCAGCCTGAACAATTAAAACTTTCATAACTATACATTGTCCATCATAAGTGACACATTCATTTATTATTTAAGTCAAAATATATTTCTCGTATAGGCCTATTTATTAGTTATATAGGCTATATATACAGTATATATATATATATATATAGCCTAGCTTTATGATGTTTTTCTCCGCTGGCAGAAGCGCTGCAGGTGCGTGATGTGATATGATATGACCATGTGAATCCTCATGTTCTGTTGTTTGCTGCTTTTTGCGCCGGAAAACAAATGTTAGTACTTTTAATGGGCCACAGACACTTATCCTGTCTAATTTAATTCAATTCTAATTTAAAATAATCTTGTCGGTTAACGGTTAATAATCGGTTAATGAGCGTCGGTTGTCGGTTAGGAAAAATAACCAAAATGAACATCCCTAAATGGCAGGTTGCCAACCCCTGCACTAGAGCATCCTTTTTACCACTTTCCTCACCCTTTCCTTTACTCTTTTGAAAATTGTTATTGCACTTAATTCAAATCTATTAATAAAAAGGCATTGGACTTACCAAAACACATCTGTAAAATAAAGGCACCATCATTATAAACAAAATCAAACCGTATTTGTAAAGTGCATGTACAGTGTAAGCATCTCCAACAGTTTCTCATAGTTCTGAATGAAGTTTTGGACATAAAACAATATAAAATGGCACAACAACCTAAAAGAGTCGGCAAAATTAACCCACAAGCATAAAGGAGTGTGATTTGGAAATGATCTAAACCAGAACACTTCCAACTTACCTTCAGTTACTTACAGACAGGCACGACAAGGACGCTCCCAAAACTCAATCTGGT